TTCATGGAGACGAAACTTACCTAATAGCCGACCTATCAGAGGCAAGAAAGCACCTAGCGGCCTGGGGCCTCCCACAAGACGCCCTGCAGCAGCCTAACAAACCCGCCAACACCCATCAATGGAACCCAGCCACCTCCGAGACATTTGTCCCGAGAAGATCCACCCAAACAGCACTATCGACGAGCCGACCATGAACCCACATGAGGACTTGAGGTTTTTCACCTCTCACTTGTTGCTGTACCTTGGACTGTACGAACTGTTACATGCACTGTTCATAGACTGGACCATCCCCAGCAGTACACCGGGGGCACCAAGTGAAAGACAGCAGCGAACTGCGTTCCGGCCACCAGCCTGGATGCAGAGCAAGCTACCTGACGTTTCCATAATACTGTAACTAGCCGAATGCCCAGAGACACAAACGCCTCTTTTCATTTCATATGATTTGTTTTTAGCATTAGCGTTGTCTAACCCTTTCATTTAGTCGTACCAACAGCTGAGCATTCCGACAGCACCATAGATGGGTCCCACCACCCTGAGCATATTATCCCGTTAACCTGAGGGGCACTGCTTAACCTGATCGTATAGAATTGTATCATGCCAGGGATGTAGCATAGTATTGGCCAAGCCAACAGTAGATATATTCCAACACTCATGCCTATCTTATATCCTGGGGGTACAGTATATTCATATGCCCTATTACTATCTTAAAACCCACTACCATAGCTTAGTCTGTCTACCTTACTATGACCAGATTATGTTAACGCTACCCACGCTTGCTCAAAAGCCAAATTTAGCAGGTACTAATATACTTGACTTTCTCAAAATGCTCATCTAGTTGTAAGAATGGGTTATATAATCCTCCATAGTAAATGCCCCTAACATGTTACTTAGCAGGGGACTCACACGACAACACACCCTCCCTATGTTTTCGACCTTTAGCTTAAAATAGTTTCCTGGTACGTATTTTTTCTCCCCCTTTTTTTTTTTTCTTTTTTCTAAAAAGTATGATACCATGGCTGCCCTTTCACATATAGTGCATACCGCCACCCTAAGTCCGCAACAATATGCACAAAGTACATACACATAGTGTATCCCCCTTAGTACACCGCTTATCTGTATTTGGCAGTGGAATCAAAGGCAGGGAGCCTTCTCCAGTTATATCTGCTCTGCAGCCAAGAAAGTGACAACTGAGGTGCCACGGCACAGCCACTGTTTCTCACACATTACCTACACTGTATAATTCACGCCTGACAACGGGCAGGGCCCTAACCCACTGTCATCTGCTACATGTAATGTTAAGCTGCGATCACTGACTCGATGACTCGTCAATCTTCTCAATCTTCTCACTGTTTTTTGAGACACTCATGTCGTACTACATCTGAGTCACATCTACCTAACCTTAAGCGTGCCTAGCTTTGTTAAAAACATACTTATTGTAGCATGTTATTTAAACGCTGTTCTTGCTTGTTCATTTCCTAAATATAAAAATTGTGCCGACTACACAGCCACAATGTGAAATGCTTTAAATTTGCTTGTAGATGCTATTGTGGCTCTACTGGCTTGTTGTAACCACTTGCACAAGAAAAATAAAGAATTAAAAAAAACAAAAAAAAAAAACTTGTCTGGATCATTTACATCCTGATTTGACATCTGAGTTACAAGAGAAGTGAGAATTACAATTCAATAAGAAATTAAAAACAAGAATAAGCGAACATATAAGGGCAATCAGAAAAAAATGCACTAACCATGGAGTCCCTATGCACTTTCTAGAAGCACACAATGGAGATCCTAAAGATCTGGTGGTAAAAGGAATAGAAGTGATCAAACCAACTAAAAGAGGTGACGACAGATTAAAAATCCTCAGGCAGAGAGAATCCTATTGGATTTTCAAATTAGGTAGACTTTACAATGGCGGACTGAATAAAGATTTGGATCTAGCAGCCTTCCTATGACACAAACCTCTATAATTTTACACTATGTATCACTTGTAACAATGCCCAACTTTTAGGCTCCATCTTATGGATATTACTCTATTTTATTCTTATTATTTTTATTTATTATTTTTTTATTTAAATATTTACACCATTTCCACTCCTAATATCCCATAATACGTAAATATAGAATCACGGTATTACTTTTTACTTCCTGGTATGGTCAGTATATTTGTATACAAAAAATAAAATAATCATAAGGACAAAAGATGTATAAAAACAACTATTAGGATAGAATAAACAGATCCTTTACTTATAAGTTAATTTTAATGTGTATATATACATATATGTATATATATATATATATATATATATATATATATACACACAAAGTCAGTAATAATTATAGATATGTACCTAGTATCTATTTAACAACCTATGCATGGAGCAAAATCACTCTTTATATATAAATTCTTCATGTATATATACACTTTCATTTATTTTGTTACATTTCATGTTGTATGTTAATCCAATTTTCAAACAAAATGCAAAGTATAATAGATAAGTTTGTTGGTTTAAAATAAAAAATTGTGTAGCTATTCCATCTAGGTAATAATGATAAAGAATTGATACATAAACATCTGCTGTATTATAAATTAATTGTATAATGAAAGTATTTAATCAATTAAGACAAATCCTATATAAGAAAATCCTTCTCTAGCACCCTATATTCTACTCTTCCCTGATGTAGTGAGCGCAGGCTCATGAAACGCATAGGAACGACAGATACATCCAACCAGGACCTCACACAGAGATCAAGAAGCTATTAACCGTACACCGTGTTTAGCCTGCACGCACCCGACATTGACGGCAACCCGGACAAAGGGAAACCCCCAGTCTAACACACGGAGTTAAGTCATCTCCCTAGCCCTGGACCGACCACCCAGGAGCTAATTCAGTCCCAGACTCCCAAATACATACCAATACCGAGCAAGTGAAAACTGCCACGGCCAGTGACTTTTTAACCATTGCAAGGCTGTCTTTATGTGATACTTTTCGCAGCCGCACCTTCATACTGATAGACAAACGCAGGGCTTACTACTATAAGAAAAGAGAGCTCTCCTCCATATTATCAGGTTGGACTTTTTTTGTTCATTTACTTTATGTTCTCCAAGTATATTGTTTTCACAGTTTTTTTAATTTTTACTGTATTTTTTCTATTTTCCAATTTATCAGATTTTTATAGTTTTTTTTTAATTTTTGGCTTTTTTAATGCAAACAATTAGTGTGCACACTAAACTAAATACAACTAGGTATTGCTTTTAAATGTATTGTGTTACAATACTAATTAACATATAGAGATTTAATTTATATTATGTGTTTAATTTAACAAATAAAATGTTTTCTTTTATATATAGTAAATGTGTATGATGTTTGCACTTTAAAAACCTTTTACTGAATCAATAATAATGCTTCTACTGTGAGAGTATTTGAACCTGACAGTGCTGTCTATGTCAGAAACTATGACAGGACTTTTGTCATACAAAATGGTAGAATATTACGAAGGCATGTTGATCAGATCCAGTAATGGAGTGATGAGATTGTGTCTGCTGCCTGTCCAAGTCATACTAGCTTTTCTGTGATGCTGGATGATGGTGAACCACTGGAGGATATTGGTGTCGGTTCTCCAGGACTTGTTGTTGCAAAACCAGTTCCATGCGGGCCATCTGACAGAGCACAGGAAGAAGGAATGGGCAATTGGGCACAAGGTCCAGGTGAAGCAGTTTCAAACGTGGCCCCTGGGCACCCAAAAGGAAATATACACCCTCCTAATTATTTCAAAGGCTTTAGGGGGGGAAGAGGGGAGGAGTGTTATGCATTCAACCTCGCAGCAGATGGCAGCATAGTGAATTTATGCACTTGTTTCCTGTTTGTATTAGTGTCTAGTGTTATACTCTTATTATTGTGTGTGTGTTGAAGTAAAGGAGAAGTCCTATATCCACTACTTGTCTGCGAGCCCCTTTATAAATATATAACATTCAAATACACATAATTTGCCTTAATGGTATTGGCAATAGTACTCAGGAGATACAGTTTGATACAAATCAGGGGTCTTTCAAGTGAATTTACTTTTAAAATTCACTATACATGTACTGCTGGGTTAAGGAATAAGGAAAAAGCTGAAGGTCGTATGTTACAAAATACCAATTACAATTATTTATATAGCACCAACATATTCTGCAGCGCTATGCAATAGGAAACGAGACAAACATTTAATTATAACAAAACATGTATAACATACAGCAACAGCAGTTGAAGAGGGACCTGCCAAAATTAGCTCACAATATAAAGGGTTGAAGGGACACTATAGGGACACTATAGTCACCACGCCAATTACAGCTTAATGTCTGTGTCATTAGCAAAATAGCCCTGTGAACAGTAAGAATATCTGAGGGCTGAATCAGATCTAAAATGTGCATATGCAGGGGTTTGTAAAACAGCTACCACCCTCCGAGCTGTTAAAGAGGCAGCTAGAATACTTGCCCCAGTTTGTGTAAAGTATGTAAATTAGTTAACTCTTGCAGTGCCATACGCCAAGCACATTGGTAGTTGAAGTGTGATGGAATTTCGGTGAAATGTAAATTTAGTAGGCCGAGATTTCCACGTGGCATATGTTTATGTTGTATCAGTTAGTTAGTTACCCGTAGCTAAGATACTGTCATCAATTTACTGAGCATGTGCAGGAATGCAGGAACTGAAATCACACTCCTTTCTCCTTTGTTTCGGATGAGCCATGTGGTCTGCCCATATGAGGAAATCAAAATCTTGTCCACTGATTGGTTAAGGGTATGTGCTGGTGGAGCTATTAATGGGAGGAGTTATAGTTCTATAAAAAGCATGTACTCCATGTGTTCAGCCCTCAGACCTGTTTTGGAACATTAGTTCATCTGAGGCCCGATCGGTATGTCAATAAAGACCTCTTATTTCCTGAAAACCTGCATCCATCTCTCTGTGTCTGGCTTCTGCACGTTTACTCGGTTACAGAAGCACTGCTGAAATAATCTGCAAATGTGCATGTGTACACCTGAAGTATTATGGGATGGCAGAGGGCCCACTCCTGCAGAGATGCAGTGGAAGTAAGTATGTTTTGTCCCTACATAAAGCACATGGGTAGTTGAAGCACTGCGGAAATAATCTGCAATTGTGCATGTGTACACCTGAAGTATTATGGGATGGCAGAGGGCCCACTCCTGCAGAGATGCAGCAGAGGTAAGTATGTTTTGTCCTTACATACACTGCATTATTCACAATGTAATATCATTTACTGGGGTGAAGGAACAAGGGACTGTTTCAAGTGTTGCATGATGTGAATTGCTATATGGTGTACAAAATGAAAGTCTGTTTGCAAATTTATATCTAATATACTTTTTTTCTCTGTTTCCAGCCTTGCATGGTGCTCCTTCACCTGCTGTATGGCAGCTTCTGTTACTACATTGAACTCTTATACTAAAACTGTCATAGAATTTGGAAACAAGCATAAAATATTTGAGCAAGTCATACAAGAGCAAATATTCATGGATTCATGTAAGTATCTAGAAGATAAGCCAGTCAATTCAGTTTCTTACTCTTTGAAAATATCAGAGGGAGTTGTCAAAAATGCAAAGCAGTCTATTCTAACCGGGGCTTCAGGCAACTTTGGAGAAATCCCAGAGACTGTGGAAGAACAGTGCTGAATTTACAGAATTCACATTTGGTAATAATTCTCATGTACTGCTACACACTGGAACTTTGAACCCAAAATTGTACAGACAACTTGCAGCTCATAAAAAAAGTGATAATAACTGAAACCACTGGGAATTAATGGAGAAGTGACTGGAGAGACAACAAGAAGGAAATACAATTCAAATTACCCATATGCATTAACATTGTATGTTTTAGAAGTCTCTATACAAGCTCATATATCAAAGAAAGTAGAACCTCATAAATAACTTTGAATGAAAAATGTATTTATAAAACTTTGCCTTTTTTTCTTTTAAATACATTTTGTAGATTTTGTATTAGTAATGCCATTCTCAACACTTGTATACTTGTGGTAAAGTACAATATAAAAGTGAAAAAGTCCTCAAACATAAACAGAAGTGCTACAATCACCAAGGTGGGCCACAATCACCACCTTAAAATATAACAATAAACAAACAAACAAGTGATTGTGAGAGCACACAAATAAATTGGATAATATTACCTACAAATAATGTTCAAGTTATTCCCTGAAATAGAACAAGAAAAAAAGAAACATCGGGTAATAGAGTAGAAACTATAAATCAAATGAACGTTGGAAATTCCAATGGACCCTTCTTCGTATTGCTATATGAAGTACCTCCAGGACGCTGATTCAGGTGGTTACAAAACAATTTATATCTACCTTTTTGGCACCCTTTTCCGCCGCAATTCCGATCCTTCACTTCCAGGTTCTGCGTCAGAGCATCATCTGCGTCCTTACGCTCTGACGCAACTTCCGGTTTCTATCTCCGGACGTGTCTGAAACGTCCGGTGTCATCTTTTGTCAGGGCAGATGTTTGCTTGGCAAAATGGAGTCAAATAAGATATACAATGTACTTATAAACTTACAAATAAAAAACACCTTATATTGTTACTTAGTTCAATTACCTAAACCAATACAATAGTAGTGTATACTTTTCTTAGCTTATACAAGTCTAAAAATAACAGACCTAATAAAAGATATATATATATATATATATATCATTATTAACATTTTTTTTAAATAAATAAAATGGAGATACTATATTAAATGGGTCATCTAAAATAGAAAAAGAACAACATAATTGGTTAATATTGTTTACCTTCTGGAATATATAGAGACCTAAAAAACTTTTACTTCATATATATGACCTAAAATTATATCACACCTAAAAAATATTAATTGATCAATAAGAAGCAAAAAGTCTTTAAAACCTGTAGATAAAAACAACATAAAAATCATAGATGAAAAAAAGAATAATAGGCGCTCGCTATTGTAAATGGTGAACAGGCAGCAGTATACAAAACAAGGATTCCCAAACTTTGTGAATAGTAGACAAGAAAGAAAAGGGTGTATACCACGCCTAATAGTTTATATATGTAAAATATACATACATATATTCTCAAATGTATCCAGAAGATTAAAACCTTGGAATAAAACAAAAATATAAAAATAATAGTGCAATACAGTTTAGTAATAACTTCAATTAGTGAATATGGCTATACACAGTCCACTCACATTCATATGAGCTATAACAGAGCTCAGCTGTGATGCTCTTGGACGGTACAATCCCCGTCTCAGGATATGTAGTTGTGGTTGACACAAATGTTTCCAAGGTGCAGTGTGCGTGGTATAAATGAAAAGAAAACAGCAGCCAATGGTGAAGTAAGTACTAATATCAGAATGAATAATAAATAGTATTGTACTTACATTTGCTAGAGCATATAACTTGCTCTAGTATAACCAGCTTGGGTAGTATAATCCCCACCAAGGATTTACAGGATCCAGGAGGTAGAAAATAATGAATATAAAAAGTAACTACTAAAAGTAAACTTTAATATAAACAAACATGTAAAAACCATAAAAGGTATAAAAGAAAAAAAAAAGTCCCACTTAACACGTTTCGCCTAATAAGGCTTCTTCAGAAGTGTGGAATAACCTCCTCTAAGATCCGTTTATATATGCTTGTAAGTTGATCAAATTGTTTCCTGGTGTGTCTCTTCCTGGTTCCGGTTGGAACGCACGAGTCATACCGGAAGTGACGCGGTGCTCGCGTTATACCGGAAATGACTCAGCGCCGTCTTTCAGTCTATGTGTTGCTCTCGCGCTACTGTGGAACACACGCATGCGCTACTGTGGAACGCACAGCTTGCGTTGCGTTCCAATCGCTGTTTTCTAATCAGGGGAAAGGTTTAAAGAATGGGCATCTGTCACATCCTCATATTTATATTAGTAGTATAGCGGCCATCATGATTAAGGAAAAAAAAAAAAAATGAGTGGAATGACCAAATATACATAACAAATATTAGAACACAATTATGTAAATAAATATTCCTATCTAATAAATAGTATAATCAACAGAAATAATACACTATATAACACATTTGATATCCATACAATAAATAATAGGGTATAGAAATGTTACCCATATAACAGGCATAGTGAAATTCAATATATATAGCTCACTGATTAAGATACAATAAAAAAGAATTTCATCCATATATATATAATTATAGTACATAATCAGTGAACCTAAATATACATATTAAATATAAGAAGAGAAAAAGGTGTATCAGCGCTAATATTCCCAAATAAAATAACACTCTCAATGAGACGAGTATTCCTTAATGCAGCTGCTATAACACCTGAATTATCTTTGTAAATGGCAATTGGAAAAAAGGAAAAACTGGATAGGTGTAGCGCTATATTTAGGTTCATATAATAATAACAAATTTAGATGAGCAAAGTATGTAAAAGACAATACCTCAAATATCTTTAAATAGTCTTCCCAGAATTTAAGTTTCTAAAAAATATAAAAAACAAACAGACCAAACATAGTGTATACTGTATAGAACGATCAAAGAATTTAAGAAAAAGGGATAATGTCTGTAACGGACCGTTTCTCTCACAAGAGGATAAAAACCGTTTAGGCGATAATCCCCTTTCCCATAGACCAGCAGCTACTGCAAGCACCAAACTCCCGAACTGCAAACTGTACGAATTCACCAACTCCCGAACTGGAAGCACGCGAACACTGGAATCAGCCGAACAGGAAAAGCATACAATCCGCTTACACTCCTGGCAGTCAGCATACAATCCAATTCCCCCCAAAAACGAGACGACACATTGGTTTGAGGGTCAAGCAGAATCTCCCTGTACTGTCACATACAGTCTCTTTTATTCCCAATCCACAAACATAGTACAGCCCACAGGGCATTACAAAACAACCAATCAATCCGCACAATACACCCAGACACTCCCACACAAAATCCTCCCCTCTGCAGGTGATATGATTACTGAACACAATGGGTAATCTCATTATCACCGGCAGAGGAATACAGTTTTTACACAATATTTATAACTTCTAAAATATACATGTCACAAACATAAAACACACATTTTCATAATCAATCCATTCAGGGGAACAACATATTAAAAAATGGCACGAATCAGACCAGGGGTTCAAAAGTTAAGGGAAAGTCCTTTGTGACTAAATGAAGCATGGCTTTCTGGCCCAAACCAGTTTCAGAGTCTTCTATCCTGGAGATAAGTAATTCAATTATCTCCCAGGACAGACACAGACTCCATTAAGCACATGGTTGCAAAAAGACACAAAACACTTTAAAATACATAAAGTCACCTTTACACATAACACACAGACATTTCACATATCCCCAGATAGCTGGGATCTGAGCGCACATTATTAGATGAATGGCACTCAGATCACACAAATAAGCCTTTCTGCAGGGGAAATAAACGGTTTAACCTGCAGGGCCGTAGTCCAAAGGGAGCAGGCGAGCTCCAGTTCACAGTGGCGAGGTTGGTTTCGCCACAATGTCCCACTCACACTTTTTGGAGCTAATATATGATAGCTCAGTATTATCGCTCTTGGGGTCTGTAAAGGCGACCCTCACCCTTCTTGTGCGCAGATACTTCTTTATGTTCTATAGGAATTAAGAGAAACGAATATGGTGCAATATTGTTGATCTTATGTGTAAATAGCGAATATGAATGGGGTACTTACAAACTTAGAGCCCTCCACATTGGCTCTAGTCTAGGAGCTTGTGTGGTTAAGGACCACACACCTTCTTTTGAAATACAGGGATAATGCCAATAATATAAAAAATATAAAGTATTTATTGCTAACAGTATAAAAATGTATATATATATATATAAAAATCAAGACAATAAATAAATTGGCATATAAATCCAAAAGTCCAGAGTCTCACAGTCTTTTTCCAGGACGCATTTTGCCTATACAGGCTTCCTCAGCTGGATGTAGTGATTGAAGTTTCTTCTGGATTCCCCCTGCTATATGTACCCCTCTAAGGGGTAGATAATTGATGTCCAGCTTGTATCTTCACGGGCAATCACCATAGAAACGGTGACGCCCTGCGTTCCAAGCCTTCCTTTCTCCGTTTACTTCCGGGTTTGTATTGCATCACGTCATTTCCGGTTTTGCCGATACGTCATTTCCGTGCATTCCATTATGCGGTTCACAGGGTATTTTCTCATTAGAATTGTCAGACCGGCATTTTTACATGTAAAAAAAGGATACAATCGTATAATGCAGGAATTAGTTACATATTATATAGTTTCCTAAAAACACTTCGATCTCCATTAATAGGAATATAGAACAGCCACATATGATACAATTGTTATCTTTTGTATATCTGTAAGTGGAGGTTCTTTTAGTACATACTTTAAAAGTGTTATATTTTTCACCATATCAAGAACATCAAACATTTCTGAAACCAAAAAGGATTTTCAGAAAATATGTACAAATAAATAAACAAATATATTAATTCTAGACATTAAAATTACATATTCTATAATTTCCTAGAACAATTCGATCTCCATTGATAAAATATAACCCAAACCAAATATAATGTGATTCTAGTCCCTTGTGTATCCATAAGGGGAAAGGATTCTTTTAGTTTAAAAATATTACATTTATACCTAATTAAAAACAGC